CTAAGTATAGTTTTCTTTATATTTAAACTGCCAGTTTTCACTGAGCTTTTCTTTGTGTGTTTTGTAAGTTTTGGCAAATTGTCAAGCTATTACAGTGGTACCTGGTTCATGAACTTAAGAGTGGTCTTTTGTGGACTTCACATTATATTTGGAGCTGAACTCTGAGCACCCAAGTAGAATTCCTTTAGGTGTCACCCTCTTATATGCAGTAAAGTGAGTGGACAGAATGAAAGAACAACTTTGCATGCATGTATCCGTACCTAGCACGTCTGCTGAGGCTGAGAAAGGGAGGCGTCTCAGGAGTGGGATTGCGCTGTGCTCAGGCCATCTCAGACCTGTGTGTTGACTCAGGTCTTCAGATAGATTTCAGCGCCGGCTTTCACAGCTAGGTTGGAGCTAGCCTTCTCCTCCTTCTCTTGCAGTGTTGTACCTTGTAGATAATAGTTCTTTCTTTCCTGGTTGAATGCCTGACTGGGAGCTGTAGCTGCTGCTGTGCAGCGTCTGGAAAAAGTATTGAGAGAATTTTTATGCCACATATTGCTTACCTAGGAAAAGGTCAAAATTTTAAGTTGTTTCTATTGAATGCATAATGCTTTCACTTTTTTTTTTTTTTTTAAAGAAAAAAAATTGTAAGCCAAACCATTGTAACTTGCTGGGAATATGTTGATAAGTTTTGGTTGGGTTGTAGCTCTGTGGTAGTATGCTTGCCTCAAAAATGCAGGGTCCTGGGTGATGTCCAGCACTGCATGCATGCGCCCCCCAACACACACACACACACACACACAAACACACACACAGAGACAGAGACAGAGAGAGACAGAGAGAGAGAGAGAGAGAGAGAGAGAGAGAGAGAGAGAGAGAGAGATGGATGTAAATTTTGCTTCTCTTGCAGTATGATTGGTCTTAGCGCCCTTGTCAAAGGTCAGTTGGCCATAGATGCATGATTTTGCTTCTGCTTTCTGGGCTGTGGTTTCATTCCTTGTTTTCTGTGTCTGTCTTTACATCAGTTCACATCTTTTGCTTGCTCTTTGAATTAGTTTTTGCAATTGGTACCTAAAAGTCCGCCAATTTTTCCCCTCTTTAAGATTGTTTTATTATTTCGGACTTCTTCCAGTTCCATACAAATCTGAGCATGGGCTTTCCCATTTCTGCTGCTTGTTGTGCTTTACCAGCATGTGGTATGTGTTGTATCAGTTACAGTGATTGGCTTACTCAGGCCTTCTTGAGTATATTCTCCTGTTGGTAGAGAATGGCTATATGCATGTGCTCTGTTTTTAAATCTGTTTTCTTTGTCACATAAATTGGAAATTTAGACATTTGTTTTTGTCAAACTACCTTGAATGAATTTATTCTTCAAAAGCATCTGTTGCTAAGGAAACAGGTTTTTGGCTATGTTTTTTTACAGTCTAAATTTAGAAAATGATATTAGGCATTATATTAATTGTTCATGATTTATACATGTTTTATAAAGAAAAATACAGCTCTTATAAAACTTTTGTCATTAATTTACCCTCTTTGTTCTCAGGTGCCCTTTTTGTCTCCTGTGGAAGGTCATGTTTGTTTAAAAATAAACTGTCAAGTCAATTCAAGTGTTGAAGAAAAAGGTTTTCTAGTAAGTAACATCATGTAATCTTTATTTCCTTTGTTTCCATTTTATGAAATTCAAACTTGGTGTTCCATAGGAAGGAGAACTTGTGATTAAGCGTCAGGTGGTTCAATAAAGACTTGTCTCGTTGCCGTGTGCCAGTCGCTGTGCTGATGTTGCATCCGGGGGTGAGCATGGCTGCCTGTGCCTGCTGGGGCTCGTGAGCTCCATTTTGGTAAAGAAATAAAGGCACAAAGTTTAAGGAAAGGAAGACATTTTGTTGGACACTTCATTGGAAAGGAGGGAAAGGAACAAGAGATAGCTACCCTGTTAAATCAGAGAAGGGGCTCTGGAAAAATAGAGGCCCCGAGGGTCATTTGTTCTTGGCTGTTATCACTGGTGCTAAGGATCTGCCCCTACCTGGAATCTGTCATAACCTGATTGGACCTCGTGTCATCCTTGGTGTGCACATTCTTAAGTGTTGTTTATTTGATTTCCATTGTCCTGTCAGACTCTAGCTTTAGAATTTATGGGTTGGTTAAAAGCGACTTCACATACGATGTTTTTTTTTTTTTTTTTTGCGGAACCGGGGATTGAACTCAGACCCTTGCACTTGCTAGGGAAGCACTTATTCCACTGAGCCATCTCCCCGGCCCCTACAATGTTGAGTTAGCAGTTAAGTGAAGGGAAACAGAGACAGCAGTGGCCCCTTGCTTCTTGTGGAGGTAATGTTCCAGACACCCTGCAATAAGTGAAAACCAGTGAAGTAGTGATGTTGTATTTATTTTAATATTTATATATATTTTAAGACTTTATAAACCCTTCCCCCACTCTTACAAAGCTTTTACACACTTTTAAAAGCACTTCTAATGTTCTTAGCTGTTTTCTAAACTCATAAACCTACATAATTTTAACAACATGTGTGCACCGTACGGTACAGTATTCATTCACTAAATACATGCTGTAAACAGCATATTTTATTTTGATTTAGTATTCTTTTAATATTAGAATTAACATTTTAAATATATTTTTATATATTTTAACATTTTTTTGGCAAAATCATTAAAACCAGAAGTACTATGCATATAAATATATATAGTACTGTACACTGTCACAAAATCCTGAGATACAGCGAAAAATCTACGATAAATACTTTAGATTAATGTTTTTTGAAAACCTGCGAAACAGTAAGTCTGCGGAAGTCAAACCGGGAAATAGCGAGGGACCGCTGCATAGACAATCGGACCTCCGTTCTCGAATTTAATTTATTTGACAATTCTGGAAATGGCGGCTGTGCGCATGCTCACCCAATGCAACGTTCTTAAAGCCAAAATTTTGCCAAATGCTTCTGTTTGCTAAATTGTCTGCCAGTAGAAGTGTACTGCACTGTATTCTAAATAAAGAACTGGCTTTTAAATGTCCTGCCCTTATGGCCTTTGTAAGGTGGGGAGGGGTGGCTTGGGTAGCTTGGTTAAGCTGTGACTTAGCAGCTGTCTCTTTTCTTGTTAAGTATTTCCTTGGTCAAGTTTTAAGCCCACCTGCCCAGTTTTATGGATTCCTTTCCCCTACCCTGGTATGGGAATAGGACAGGTCCCAAAATACCGTTCCACTTGAGAGCTTTAAGGCTCATGGGGAGAAGCACTGGCCAAGTAGCGAGTCCAGGGCAGCACCTGTGGCAGGTGGAGCGTGGGGGGCGTGTGCCCGCACACCCAGGCGCCCTGTCCGTGCTGCGGAGGGAGCAGGAGGAAGTCAGGAGCCACTCGCTGGAGAAGGGCTCTGCAGAGGGTCTTGTAGGGGTCTGCAGTTCCCTTCCTGCTCCCACCCACCCAGGGAAGAGGAGGGTGGCCCACTGGGACAGTGGCAGGTGTCTCACACCGCTGGAGGTTAGCTTTGGAGGATGTGTGTAGGGGATGAGGATGTGACGAAGGTCTCAGAGGTGTTGCGAGCCAGACAGGAGTTGCTGTCAAGTCAGAAGGGTACACTGTGGAAGCCCCCACCCCGGTAAGCAAGGCTCTGCCTAGTGCCAGGATCAGCCCCAGTTGTTCTGTTTTGGCGTTTTCACATGTAAATCCAGCAGATGGCACTAAATATTCTTGGGAAAGCTTTTTTGTTGTTTAAATTCCTGACTTTAAAGCTATATTTATTTCCTGACATTTTCTTTTGCTGTAAATATTGTCGTATTTCATTGTAGACACCTTCAGCCGTTGGTAGGCCTGCTGTAGTAGCCAGTTCATTTACATGCCTTGCCTCACCCGTTTAGCTTTTTTTTTCCTCCTGTATTTAGTACAGGGTCTACAGGGTCTCACTATGTAGATCGGATTCATAGTGATCCTCCTGTTTTCAGCCTCCCAAGAGCTGAGATTACAGGTGCATACCATCATGCTCAGTCTCAATTGCTGTCTCAGTGCGCCCCGAAGGTGGGGCTGGCATGGCATCCCAGGGATCAAACACTGGCCCTTGCCCACTGCAGGCACTTTAGTCTGCTGAGCTATCAGGCCGGCCCTCCATTTAACTTTTGACCTGTTCTCTAGTTAGATGCAGCCAGATTTATTCTATCTTGAATCCTACAACCCATTTCTATTACATCCATACAGAAATGTAGTGAGGGAGAGCTCAGGATCCCTCACATGTCCTGTTCCTTGCCTGAACAGTGCGTTTTCAGGACCCCAGGTCTCTGCAGTGGAAGAGAAAGCCCCTTCCATCCCTTCCTGCTGAGCCAGGGCAGTGGGGAGGAAGATGCCTGGCCCCTGAGAGCCTGGTTGGTACCTCCTCTAATCCCCTCCTGGGCCAGCTCAGCAGCCATGGGTAGACAGCGGGGCAGGGGTGATCTTCCTGTGACTGTCATCACTGAATCTCCCTGGTCCTCAGTTTCCTTTGCTATAAATATGAAAAGGCCACTCTTTTCTTCCTGTGGTACAGTAGGATGTGACAGTAATTGTTGTCCTTCTAGTCAGCATCTTTGTCATCTCGTTGCCTGTGTGATGTAAAGGGTAAACGTGGACACAAGAGGGAGTTGGTGAGCCGTCTGTGCTAACTTCTGGGCCTGAAAGTGAAAGAAGATTCCTGGCCTCCTTCCTGGTGGACAGTGCAGCGCAGAAAAGCACACTTTAGGGGGAGGAGTGAGTTGGGGCGTGGAGAAGGCTGGCGCGGACTGTGCTTGGGCCAGGCTGCTTAATTCAGCTACTAAACCTGAGGCTCCCTCAGGCATGGAAGCCCATGGCTCCAACTGCGAACTTTCCTCCTTGGCCAGAGATTGCTTTCTTAGCTAAAACTACCCACAGGAGCATCCCATAAATTAGGGAATTGAAGAGTCTACAGCAGTCCCTCACTTATTGTGGAGGTTATATTCTGCGATAAGTGAAAATCAGTGAAGTAGCAATGCTATATTTATTTTAGTATTTATATTTTAGGGCTTTATAAACCCTTCCCCCACTCTTATAAACCTTTCCCACACTTTTAAAAACACTTTTAATGTTTTTAACCTTTTCCTGAACTCAGACATGTAATTTTATATGTACACTGTATGTATGGTATTGCAAAATCCTGTGACATAGCAAAAAATCCGCAATAAATAATTTAGATCAATAGTTTTTGAAAACCTACGAAATAGTGAGTCTGCAAAAGTCAAACTTCGAAATAGTGAGGGACTACTGTATAGCCTACCAACACAGGGTAGGTGTAAAGGTTAGTTGAGATAATTGTAAAAATGTATTTATGGGACGCTTCTCACAGAAAGCACCAGATAACATTAG